TCTCGTTTTTTTCGAAATTATGGGCATCTACGAGCGACCCCCTCCTCCTTTCCCCGTCTCTCCCCTTACCTCCAAAGTCGTGGAAAGATACGACTATATGGAATTATGTGGAAGAGAGAGACCAAAAAGGCGCAAATTTGCTAACCGTAACAGCGGCTGAAGAAAAACTACTGCGAAACAACGGCTAATGAAAGCATCAGAAGCAGGTAACACGAGATTTCAAAAAAAAAAAAATCTACCGAAAATGAGTTCAAAAGCCAAAAAAAAGTGACGGTAGTGAAAAATTTTCTTGAAACTTACCCGCGATTTTCCAATCTCCGTCTTGATTTGACCCGAAGCAGCTATTTGGTCCAGCACCGCTCGATGTGTATATTTACATACAAATGGCCAAAAATTCTGCAAAAAAACAGAGGAAATTCTGCAAAAAAACAGAGGAAATTCTGCAAAAAAACAGAGGAAATCCTGCAAGCCGTTCGTTCAAGCCCCCCCCCCTCCTCTCTCTCTCCTTCGCCCCTCCCTCCCCCCACGTGGCTCCCATAGCCTATAAGGATCTTTAAGACACCAAATTAGTACAAAGTTAATTCCTAGGAAAACAAGCTTCCAGCATGTATCTAAGAAACTTTCGGTAGCTAAGTTCTCCGCCAGCTTTGTCAATCGGCCTTTGTTCTTCGCTATTCCCCACTTCTCCAAGAAAAATTTCGATTTGAAAACTATTGGAAAAAGCAATAATGCTAAATTGCTTAAATATTTACGGGCATAAAAACTTACCGGTTCTGGATATTTCGTGCCTTTTGGCTTCTTTTCAAAAAATGCTTTTCTTAACCCGTGAATGAATACTGCTTCCAGAACATTACAAAGTGTTTGCGTGGATTCGCTGAAAGAAAAAAAAAAACTATGATGACGATCATCCCTTTCCCCGCTGCAATTTGAAAGCGAAAAAATCTGAGCTCTTGCGAATTATAGTCCTTAATTGCCTCGAAAAATGACCTGGGGAGGAGTGTTTTTATACCTCAGTGGATGGAAGGATCTGCTCAAACGTCTGAATGCGTAACAATCACACGTAAAAGAGAAGAATGGAGAAGTTGCTAGCTGTATTTGATGAAATCGGGGAATGCGATTTCAGTGTCGTGTTAAAGACCTGTATTGCATAAATCCTAAAATTTCGAAAATTCTTGCTATTACCATATCAAATTGAACGAGAATCCTTCATTAATCTCAATTTCTTGGAATATTCTATGAGCATAAAAATTATGAGAGAAATGAAGTACCGCTACCCTAAAAGTTAATGAGCTAGACTAGTGGCGTGCCTTCTGCATGTGTGTATGTATGTATGTGTGTGTGCGTGTGTGTGTGTGTGTGGAAACACCTAGTTATATATATACATATATCTCTTGGAATATTCTATGAACATAAAAATTATGAGAGGGAAGTATTGTGACCCTAAAAGTTAATGAACTTGAGTAGTGGCGTGCCTTCTGCATGTGTGTATGCGTATGTATGTGTGTGTATGTGTGGAAACACCTAGTTATGTACACACATGTATGTTATATATAATTACATACAATAACTAAAGTAAAACTAGATAAAGAAAATAATATAAAAAAGTGGCTGGCAGAACAAAGTGATGAACAGCGACTCTGGATTCTGGAGATGGGGAGGAGTGTTTTTATACCTCAGTGGTCACAGATCACTAAGATTGCAAAACTTTAACGAGGTAGGATGTTCAAAGGTTGAACTGGGGACCAGGGGTGCTGCATCACAATGATGCAATTGCTCCATACGTAATTTCTAACAAAAAACCAAAAATCATTATGTGAGAGAAAGCTTACTGAGAAAGTGCAGCGCCAGATGGATATTCAGATACAGCATTTTTGATTACATTGGCTAATTCATTCGTCAAATTTGCTTTCACTTCATTGTGATTCACTTTCACTGCTTCACTATGAGCCATTCGTACTTCCCACGCTTTGG